GAGTATGTTATGGTAATCCATACCACTACACATTCCTACTATTAGGAATGGTGTACTTTTTAGTCAATAAGCATCTGACACTCCCTCTCGCCACACCTGGCACCTGGAACAAATTATTGCATGATTGTCCCCCTCACAAGTATATAAGTAGGTAGAAATTTCAACATGATTTTGTAGTACTTATATACCTACATCAGTTCCATAATGATATTTTCCTATAAACTGTATATGTTGTACAGAAAGAAATAACACTGATACAATGGAAACAATAGAATAATAATCACTATTAAATCAATTAAGACTGCCTCGTTGGCCGACTGGTCGCAAATGCGACTGCCGGACAAGGGGTCTCGGGTTCAATTCCCGGGCCGGGCTAAGTATTACTGGGTTTTAAAAAAATACTCAGTAGTAACACGGAGTCTGGAATTGTGCCCGGTATATGGCAATAGGTTCACCCCCTATTACATGGGACTCGTAACATAAATAGTGAAAAGTGGGTGTTACATTGTATAGTGGCATAATGTGCACCACTGCCTACCCCTTCAGGAATAAATGTTATGTTATGTTATGTTAAATCAATGAATCGCAAATAAAAGGGACATGGTTAATAGATGTTTGTGTTTGTCTTATAAATGAGATGTCCCATGATTTAGGTATGTTTTAATATTTATCCTACCAGTGGCAACAGTTAGAGAGCTGGATCTCAACCTGCAGTTGGCAGTAGATGCCATGAAACATTGTGACCAGCCCGTCACTGCCATCTCCTCAGGTTGCGAGCTGTTCATGAGGTTTATTACTTTTGCCAAACTTGATGTTAAGGTAAGGATTTGGTAAATGTTGTAATTAATTTAATAGCTCTGTGTTTTTGTTGAGCATATGTTAATACATATGTGTACTGGATATGGATATGTCATGCATGAAACAGCTACCACCTAGCAAACCTTATACCTGCAAGGTGAAAACCATAATCTAGATGTTAGGTGACCTAACTGCCCAGTGTCCTAACCTGGCATAGAAAGGCCTTGGGTCAACAGTAGTCACAATAGATATTCTGGCTGTTGATGCTGATATTGATAATCACTTATAATTGACATCTTTTTTAAAAAAAAATGTTGCCCCACACCAGAATTTTCTCCTGTGTCGTGGTTGCGTTTACAAACATACAATATCACATACACATGACACCCAGACCCGGAACAACAATATGTGGATCACACAAAGAGTGGTTCCGTGCAGGAAACGAACCCGCGACACGAGCGCGGCAGCCAGTTGCCCAGCCACCGCGCCAACCGTGCAGTTATCTCTTTGTTACCATTTAGTTAATGAATCATTTTGTATTTTACAGTCCTTTGAAGAGTGTGAACAAATTATGCTCCAAAGAGGTCACATATTTTTGAACACTTTACTAGAGGCTAGAGGAAAGGTTGCCAATATAGCAGCACATGCCATAAATGACGGATATGTAAGTAGTAATTATATTATTATGAAAAACTATTATGTTGGTCCAGTAGTTATAAACCAGTCGCGTAACTACAGGGTGGCACGACCGCAAAATGTCCCTCTCCCCCAGCTGGAAGGGACCCCGTTCAGAGGTTTTCATCCAAACTACTCTATTTCATAATAACGCCACTGCTCTATCCCCTGAAAAGCCTATATTTAGGCAACCATGTATAAGTAAATATTAAATCTTTCGTGATACATACTAAATTTATTATTATATTTTCGGCTTACTAACGTAAATGTTTGGCGAGGAACTCGACTAGCGCTATTACTACCTACCAACCTACAGTAGCAGCGCTATTGTCGCCCTGTTGCGTTTTGCGGAATGCTGCTCATGAAGTTGAGCCTCTGGCATGGATTGAAACTAGTCGAGTGCTTCGTCAAACAGTTACGTGAGTAAGCCGAAAACATAATACTTAATGTTGTTAAGTATGTCCAAAAACCATTTATTCTACCTTGGTACCGAACATAAAATATAAAATGCCTATAATTTCATTGCTCACAAAATTTCATATTTCAGAGAATTTTGACCCACTCCCGGTCTAGAGTTGTCCTGCAAGCTATGTTACAAGCAGCTAAAGCCAATAAAAGGTTTAAAGTATTTGTTACAATGTCCGGTCCTGACAATAGTGGGTAAGTTTTCCTATTCTGTTTATCAAAATTATAAAAAACATTTTTTTTTAATCCCTCTTGATTCTCCGAAAATAATATAAATATAAAAAATGGGTGAAAGAAAGATAAAAAAACTCTTGCCCTGTATGTAATAGATAGTCATAACTTTAATATACCCAAATATTTGTTATTCACGTGTCTGTATAAATACCTAAATTCTTTTTCAACCATTTTCACTTCAGAATACTTACAAAGTACTTAAAATGTATAATTTGATAACTTCCAGACTACTAATGCAGAAGCAGCTAGAAGAAGCTGGTATAGATGTGACCCTCATCCTGGATGCAGCAGTCGGCTACATTATGGAACAAGTAGACCTTGTCCTGCTCGGCGCTGAGGGAGTCACAGAGAATGGGGGAATTATTAATAAGGTAATCTTTTACGATGTATTATATTTCTCTAAGCCGCATTGGTAGATCACCTCACTTCAGTCCTTTCCGTCAATGTCCATAGCAAACCTTTCTAATGAACCCTACTCTTTAGGGAAGTTATAGATCAAGTTAGGGTTTTGGGAACGTAACCGCAATAGATGTGGGTACAGGATCAACCTTCGTAGGTAAGATTGTTTATGAATTCCGTGAACATGTTGACTCAGATTAAAATGATTCAAAATCTAAAATGCGAGTTATGAATGTTACTGAAGAAGCTGTTTAAATCTTAAAAGAAGACAATCTTAAGTACAACCTGTTTTCTCTAGTTATGACACTATGTAATAGAATTCATATGCACTAAACTAATTTTAAACTCTGCAGTTAACTATTGTAGATTGTTTTATATTTATATCTTTAACTAGCTACTTTCGCGCGGTTTCACACGCTCTACTCAGCTCCTATTGGTCGTAGCGTGATGTTTTATAACCTATAGCCATCCTCCATAAATGCGCTATCCAACACAAAAAGAATTATTCAAATCAGACTTGTAGTTACGGAGATTAGCGGGTTCAAACAAACAAACAAAAAACAAACTCTTCCGCTTTATAAAATAGTATAAGAGTATAAGATAAATTGAAATTCAAGAACTTTTACTCGTGTGTTGCACTTACAATACGTGATAAGTGTCTAAAAAATCTTATTACCTTTTTTTCAGATCGGAACATACTCATTAGGAATGGCAGCCCATGAACTGAAGAAACCAGTGTTTGTGTTGACAGAGAGCTTCAAATTCTCTAGGATATACCCTTTGAACGAGATGGACTTACCAAAGGAATTCAAGTACCTGTCGAGTGTCATAAAGTCTGGTAAAGACCTGTCGAAGGAACACCCTCTAGTTGACTATACGCCCCCTGTATATATTACGTTGCTGTTCACCGATTTAGGAATTTTATCGCCATCGGCAGTTAGTGACGAACTTATGAAACTGTATTTGTAAATATTAATGTGTACAATAAACTTTATTTATAAGTATTTGAAGTTGGTTTTTGTTTGCAATAAAATATATCTATGGACAACTAAAGGAAAGATAGACACTTGGCAGTGGCGTAACTATAACGTATACCGTTCGGAGCCCCATTCCCAATAAAAAACAAAGAAGTTCAGATGAGAATCTCTGAATCCTTCAGCTCAGTTTTAGTTAGGTGCCTGTGGCATTTTGCAGATTAACCACTCTATAGTTTACGCCACTGGCACTTGGGCACATTGTATGAGGAAAACAAGATAAGGAATTCATAAAGGAAACAGTTGGGAAAAAATGAGAATTCAAAAATGTCTGGCACTTTAATGTTGTACGAAATATATTTACATAGTTTTGATATAGAGTTCAATTAAAATACTAGACTGCCTATACATTTATATCTCACTTTGTGTTAAAATATCAATTAATAATAACATGCAATTATACTAGGCAAGAGATAAACATTACATCTTAAACTTAATATATTGTTACACTATTCTGTGGAAGCATTAAAGATATCACAAACATGTCCTTTATTGCCACTAGTTACATCTATCTTAATTAAAAAACTACTAAAATACTCATTATAACATCTTCAGAAAGTATGGAAGCCCTAAGGAAGGATATTTTCTTCTCATATTGTTTATATACTGAAATTAATAAAATATAATTGACTTTCTTCATTACTTAGTCAAGTTACAATGTTAGAAGTCCATACATTACAAAGTTATACAAAAAAAGTTGCCTAAAACGGTAGGCTGATTTCAAAAAAGGTTTTATTCCATACCTTAATAGTTCAATTATAAAAAAATCTACAATGTCTAAATTAAATCTAACATTTGATGCTATACTTTACAAATACAGATTATTTTTCATATACATATAAACTAGATTATGCTTAACATTGTACTTGAATACAAAATATACGTAGATATGTCAGTCAGAACTGATATAATATGTTGTACTTATATACTATTATTTCCATCTATCGCTAAAGTACCATTCGTAAGAGATCAACACTTCGATTACTTATAAAGAACACTGTCTAGCGCTTATAAGTATGTATACTAAAAGAAACAATAGAGGGAGAGAGATTCTCAAAAAGCACCTTCACCTTAAAACAATATTCATTTAACTCGTCGAGTACCGGTTTTACAGACACAATTAAAGAACAATAGGTCGCGGTCACCGGTGACCGCTTGGTATTTGACAGTTTAAGGACGTTTAGGTTCAAGAATAACCGTAAACACTGCCTTACAATTTGTATTATTCTAGACTAGAAGGCAAATTAATGTTTAATTGAAAAATAAGTATAGAAAAGCTAAAGATAAGACCGACTTTACCTTTTTAAGAAGATATAAAGAATCAGAAATTGGACACATGGCAATCATATTTTACAAAGAGGGCGAAAGTTTAAAACTACGTGCTGCCATTTTGACTTTACCCTCCTCAGCATCATCCAAAACATCATCCTCTTAACAAATTATGCACAATGACTAAGATTTTTTTTAATAATCACAGACCCCCTATTGTCTCTTCTAAATACTCAACACATCCATTTATAATACAAAAAGATATAGTCACTACATACAAGTACAATTTTATTATTTAACACATAACATAATTATATAACAAAACTTAAACAAACAATACAGAATTCAGTTGCCTATTGTATAATGGAAAATGAGTAAAGTATATTTATTTTACACAGATATTTTTTAATTATGAATGTTTACAAAAAATATTTTTTAATGTCGCTAACCCTGGTCGTAAACTGGGTAAGGTAGATTCAAGTTTTCGTTCATAAGACTTTATTTTCAAATTATTATCAGTTTAATTCGAAGATTTTTCATAATAATGTGTCCTTTCCCTTTAGATAGGCACTTATTTAAAACCGTTCCGTCTCGTGGACTGTCGAAATAAATGCGTTGTGTCGCTGATGGACTATACTTCCACATAGACACCATCAGCGATAGAATATCCGCAGTTTTAATTCGTCAAACATTTCTACTGAATTTGACAGGAGACCTAGGGTTGAAAAACAAGATGGCGTAGAAAATTTAGCACATGACATTTTACCAACAGTGTTACCTATTGTAAATATTGTCTATGATCGTGTATATCTGATGGAAGTGTGGTCGCTTTTCTGCCTCGTACTCCCAGCAGCGTAACATTAGAGCGTATACGTCTTCGGAACAGCCTTCGGGCGCTGGCATTCTGTAACCTGGAAAAATGGAGGATGAGATAAGACGGTATTTTTTATTACAAGTATCCTTGGTGACAACATTTATGGATGGCCTGGTCGTAACAAGTGAGTACACTTACAACGCCAGAGGTATGCAATACGGTTTAACTCATATAGAGAACTATGTGATTACATTATCATTCCCTACGAAGAAGGCTCCTTGAAAATGATGTGTTTATTTCGAGTAGTTACCTGTATCAATTTTCTCGCGAGCTCGTGAGTTGCTCATGCCTGCGTAAGGAGTGTCACCCTTGGAGAATATCTCCCACATCAGCACACCGTAGCTCCACACGTCACATAGCGATGTGTATTTTCCTGAAAGAACACAAAAATTAAAAAATGATCAAACTTTTAGGTACTAATTGATGATTTGTAAAACTTGTCTGATCCTTTTAATTCTACTTAATGCCTTTTCCTCTAATAAATAGACCAAACCACTTACCAAAATTAAGTGCCTCCGGAGCAGTCCACTTAATAGGAATCTGCTTCATGCCTCCCGACACGATATATTCCTCCTCCTCTCTCGACATGCCGAAGTCAGATATCTTGACAATGTTGTCGTCTCCCACGAGACAGTTCCTGGCTGCAAGGTCACGGTGGATGCAGTTCTTGGACTCCAGGTAGCGCATGCCACCAGCAGCGTCTCGACACATAGCTAGGAGGGACCGGGAGCTCAATGAGGATGCTCGCGTACGCAGGAATGTGAGGAGGGAACCACCTGGGAAAGAATAAAGATTATGATCAGAAATAAATATTGATAAAAGGCCTACCCTATTAGGGTATACCCTATTAGGGTAGACGACTAATTTTTTTTTTAATGTCCGTCTGGTAGATTATTTAAAAACATTAGACACGTATTTTTTATTTTCTCACAGAAACGAATAGTTTCTAAGATATATTGATTTGAAATGTCGCGTGACGTCACTTCTCAGTACATTTTATACTAAGAAATGACGTTTTAGCCCCCACTCCTAAACTTTGATTCGTTTTATCCAAGTATTGTTTTATTATACGACAAAATAAAAAAATACGTGTCTAATATTTTTTCATTACCTAACTTACGGACTAATTATATTTTTAATTTTCATACCCTGTCATCATCCCCAATTTGTTCCATCATGAAACTGTGCTATAAATCAAAAGCTCCATTGAACATTGAACGTAGATATTTTTTCGATTATCGTCTTGTCAACTTAATCACGAATTCTATCAGTGAGTTTTTCGTTTTGCCCCATAAAACCATGACTACGTACATATACATATTTATCAGCAAAATCTATGGCCACATGTGTTCTGAAAACGAATGTGTGTAGGTAATTTGGAACGCATGTTTCACCCAACCAGAACAAAATGGGTCTGGACACCCACGTTAGCTAATTTCACAAGTATCCTCCATGACACACCACGATAAACTATACTTAGATGCTGTTGCGTAAATAGCTGTTTCGAATTTGGATTATTAAGAACTTAACGCATTGAACAGAATACAAAAAAAAGATGTTAAGTTTCTCAACACATAGCAATTTATCATTAAATATGAGGTATAATATATAAATAATATTGTAATAATACGGGGAAAACCTAAAAATTTTACTTTATATACTTGCATAAGTAAGTATTTACAGAATATTTAATCATTTATTATTTAAAAGGCTGAAGGTATGTACCTAATATTTGATCGACGTCGTTTTCATTGCGAAACCCGTGTAAGTATTTGTTCAATAATGAGTGCCATAATGAATTTTTTTAAATCCTACTAGGCAGGTACTCGTACTGAGCAGACAACCAACGACACAGCCAAATTTTATTAAGTAGGTACCAAATAATTAGGTCAAGAGGAAATTCTGTCCACGGAATGTAGACGAAACCAAAGACTTGATATGCCACGTGTGACGCAAGACATTGTAAAAATAAATGCATATTTTTATAACTCAGACTCAAAAGATGACACTCATGTTTATTCAATTTTGGCGACCTACTCAATACAACAATATTTGTATAAAATTAGCAAAGGTTATGTGTCATCTGCAACATTGAAAGAGATTTTTAAAATGCAATATTTTTAAGTGTGTTGTTATTGGCTACCTGTTTTTTGCGTCTGAATTTCCACTACATTTATCGGGTAGATATACAATATACATAGGTATTAGGTAGGATACATATCTACGATACACATAAATGATGTCTAATTAGGTGATTCTAAAATTCACTCACATACCTACGTACCTAGAGGTATTTAGTAATGCCTAAATATTTATACGGCGGAGAATAAAGACTAGTTAGTATCTACAGTTTTACACCAGAGCTAGATTATTTTTCAATGCGTCTTAAAATTTTATGAGCAGTCACATAAGATTTACAATATGTTAGCTATCTGTTTATCATTCACTGAAGCATAAAACGAGATCAACGAACTGTGATAATGAAACTGAAAATTCATGAGACTGTTTGAAAACATGTCAATCTGATCTTGTGAGAACGACGTAATTTAATGAAATTTATCTTTTAAGATATTATAGTATGTAGTGTGAGTCAAACGACCATAAATAAGTTTTTGAAAAATCTTAAATTAATGTCTATCTCAAAGCTTGGTAGTCCCTAGCCAGCTCAAACTTTGCTTCATTATTTACTTACCTACCTTCTAATCTATCCATGACTCTTCCACTATGTTCTGTTCCGTACCTAAATATTGTCTTTGAAGTACAACTTTAAAACAAGAAATCTCACCAGGCACGAGTTCCATGACGATCATAATGGGCTGCTTCTGCACAGCTATGCCAATTAACCGTACTATGTTCGGATGCTGGTACTGCTTAAGGATGCGACCCTCCTGCAAGAAGGTCCGTTTCTGCTCGTCTGGTAACGCCACCCTGCATGTCTTTACTGCCACCTCCTGATTGGTGCTCTTCAGCCGAGCCTTGTACACGTCCCCGAAGTTACCCTAGTGACAAAAAAGAGGTGATTTAAAAAAAAATCATTAAGACCCGATTTTTTACACGTCTTAACTGTAGAATTTTTACACATCTTAACTGTAGAATTTTTACACATCTTAACTGTAGAATTAAATTTACATTTGACAGTTTTTAGTATGGAAGAATTGTCAAATATTCAAAGTTATTACTCTGATCACATTTAACTGGCATTGAAAAAATTGGCCCTAAGAGTTTTAACCTTTAAACTGGCTATATTTACGTCTACTACTAACTAGAACTTAGTAGTACCTCAATATGTTGAAGTTTTAAACATTGGTACTAGTACCATAGCAATTGATGCCAATTTATTTATTAATATAAAATGTGATTTCAATTAATTATTCCTACAAATCAATTTGAAATAACGAATAACCTATCAACAATTAATTATAGTTATTTGCAATTATTTCCTCGTTCACATAAGGGGGTCCCCTAGTATATAGGTACTACTACATGGGTACAGTTACGTCGGTAATTTACCAACACATGTTAGAACGAATTGTTCCTTATCTTTACGTAATAGTACGCAAGTTGAAATAAACGATTATTCAATGCATCTAATTTCTTGTGACGCATACAGTAAACTTCTCATTGTAACAATCAAACAGCTATTGTGACTACATTGATAAACATACATACACACGTAATGCAAGCACCTTGCTGATTGTGTCATAATGTCCAGGAGAACAATGGACTTGATTCCTAGAAGCTTATAAAGTAACCTAGTTTAATTAGTTTGGTAGGTATAGAGTAACAATCAATAAAGGAGGATCTTACATACGTATACCTACTTTATTAATTAATTAATCTTTTCTGCAAAATAACTACTGTTACTCATAATATTGGTTTCAACAATTTTTTGGTTGATAGACCATTTCTGATATAGGGTGGATTCGCCTTTTGCGTCCACCCTAAAAGGATAGTCAGTTTGCGTCCACCCACCATTGTATGTCCATTTTACTGAACGCCATGAATGTAAGATACCTACTGAAAACGTTTAATATCAAACAGATGTGCACTAACTACTAATATTGCTTTTTTATTTACAGGATTTGTTAAGCAGCGTTCCGTAACATGGACGCGAAAAAGCGAAGTTATACCCCCTTTCCTTTTAAAAATAAGAAAACTTCATCGTCCTTCAAGAGGTTACAAGGTCATAACAAAGAAACCCACCCAATGACCCTATGGTTAGACTTAAATAACAGAATGCTGCCAACCCGCATTGAGCAACCGTGGTGATTAATGCTCAAACCTTCTCCGTGTGAGAAGAGGCTTTGCTCAGCAGTAGGCATTTATAGGTTGTTGATGATGATGAAATAACAGAATACCAATTAATGAGATTTAGCAATTCGTATGGATTTCCCTATCTCGATCTTGGTCACGGAGTAGGTACAGTAATACAGATGTGACATGTGACTTACTCGTCCAATCTTGTCCAGTAGTTGTACATCGTCATTGTTTAGCTCCCAGTTCTCCCGTGGCACTGCGCGTCGAAGTAGGGCTCCGGATCGAGCAGTCACTGGTACTCCACTGGTCCTCTGCCAAGCTATCAGCTCAGCTACTGAGGGGAACGCGGCTCCTTCGAAACGGTAATGACCCTAAAAAGAAGAATAGAAAGTTGAAATAATGAAGAAGGAGATATTCCTACCCTTGCTTATTTAGAATTGCGAAAGTGTGCTGTTTATTAGTTCATCCATCTCTTACGTCGCAGCGAGCGTCGTAAAGATATGGTAGGAACGATTTTTGTGCCTGAAGGTCGTTAAGAAGCTAGAGGGTGATATAAATTCACCGGTTAAATTCACGGGCGGAAAGCTAGTTCCATCGTTATTTGTTTGGCTAAGAATAGCTACTTCCTACTGGAACTTGATAGACACAGCCATAGTTATTTCAAATCTGCTTCCGTCACTTATGACGCATTCGTAACGTCCGCAGCTGTACCTTAGTATTGTGATGTATGATATAACTCTAATACTTAATTTTAGTCTATTAGCTTGCCAAATAATTTTTAGAAATATTTTCCCTATACCTTTAGCGTAAGCCTTCCCTACGCCCTGGATAAATAGGTAATCTGCGCATTTTCTTTTTAAGACGAAAGGACTTGACTCTAAAGGTCTCGTTGTAATCCTCTTATTTTGGGCAGAACAACAACAATCGAACCATAATACAAAACATAATAAATGAATCATACAAAAAGAAGAACAGCTTTTACGTGGAATGGACAACGACTGACCTCATAATGTTTTAAAATTCTTATAAAATTAATTCTTCAATCATTAAAGTGAACTAGGTAAGTCGAACTTCTGAGAATTTGAAGATTCATTAATTGACATGATGCAAATTCATTTATGATTCACAAGTCATAAAATGTCAAGTACCACTTTTTCATTGCAGATTCGCTTCCTCAATATAATTGGCAAGAAGGAACTCAGCGGGAACCGTGCAATTTCTCAAAGCTTTTAAGGCACATACTTATATACGCATTGTAAAAAGTACATATTTATATGATCACAACTATGCATTTCACTCCGATGCTCCTATTTCTCGAGACCCAGACAATCGAGGCGAAACCCAGACAATAAAAACAGACTTTTATTTACCTACCTAAGCCAAACTTTTTCTTGCCTTTCGTGTACGTCTCCAAATTCTTAGCTAATTTAACACTAATTAGTAATCCTTAATGCATAGTAGATATTAAGTATTATCTAAATCTTGTAGCAAGCACCACACCAACATCGATTTACTAAAATGTGACTTGGAGATTTGCATTCAAACCTGTTCGTGGCAATCTAGCAATTGTCAGGTCCGTACTCTAAGAATACCAGCAAAAAACGTTCCAAATAACAGGTGTAACTAGTAATCTTTTTTGCAAGACATTTTTTGTGTAAACCGCTTAGCGAATCTAGACTGGTCAAGAGCATAGGAATTCGGAAGACCTTAAAAAAGTGGTAGCAACGAGCATGTAAGGTGAACATTGTAAGTTATAGGACAGTTCCTAACTACTTACATAATTAAATCTTTGCTATAAGCAAAAAAATGTGATGCTACAACTTGATCAGCTAGGCTATATTCTGTAAGATGTCAATTCGAACTTTCGAAGTCAGGTCGATTGCATTCTCGCCCGTCATTGGTCGAGATTATTCGCACAACCAATGACATGACACTACAGATAGTGACGAGCTCACTTCGAGAGTTCCAATTCACATGAATATCCTAGCAGGCCGTAAAGTTGCTTGTGGAAAAATGTTTACATGATAATTAAGGCCAAGACAATAGATATGGAAACGCACTTCTACTACTAAACATACCTCAGGGGTCGTCTGCACAATAAAGTGTTTGTGTTGTCCCCAACACACGGACAGCACCAGTTGTCTCGCATGGTTCCTCGTGGTCTCTCGCACCAAATAGTCTCCATCTGCCCTCAAAAGCCTCACAACCTCTTCTCGTGGTAATACTCCATGGAACCACTCTTGTTCCACCAAAGATCTCTCTGTCTCGCTCACACTCACCTGAGAAAATAGAGATATTAATAAATACATGTAGGTAGGTTATAATGAAACCCGGTGACGATGTCAAGGACGAGAACTTTTAGAAGAAACATCGATGAGTAAAGTAAGGAGTAAATAGTTACTGCCTTGCCTCGCTAGACATAAACTAATTCATTTGATATTTAGTATTTACGATTTTATTTGATTTACTGGCTATAATATTATAATTTATAATATAAGTGTGATTGATAACCATCAATAAAATTAATCAATTTGATGTTGCATACGATTCCACTTACTTGATAATGTCATTAAAATAAACTAATAAAACATCTGCTAATTGTTGATAGCATATTAGTAGCACGATAAAACGCATCAAGAAAAAATACAACAGCACGCGATGCACATGCACTCACCTACTTAATTACATAATGCGATAAAAACACACGACAAACAAACACGTAACAACCATAAGCGATAACATACTTCTAGTTCTAACTCTTTCTCAAGTTCAAGTTGTAGCTGCTTCAGCCGTTTCTTCCTGCGAGGCACCACGACTGGCGGGGGCAGTTCACTGTGCGTGATGTACATCGAAAACGGATCCATTACGTCCATTACTCAAACTAATCAGCTTCACAACACCGCAAAAGATACCGACACTACTTTATTATCTCTTTTATTTCACCGCATGTTGCGAACGTTACCAGAAACAGGATGAACTTGACGTAAACCTCACGACTGAAGCGTACACAGTCCACACGTAAACATCGATTCATTTCTGGAACGTCGCAAGCGGCTTCACCTTGATTTTGAAACTGAGTTTTAAGGAGAGCCCGTGCTATTTTCATTTTATTTGAAATCTCATTCCCGACAGAAGTTCGTGCGGTGCACGGTGACGTGAAGTGTTTGCGCTAAAATTAGCACTGACACGTTTTGACTGAAGCTCGTTTCAGAGCGAATTAATCGTGCCATTTCCAGTGGCGTCGTGGAAGACGAAAGCTTCATGCATCGAACTAATTCCATGCCATGCGTGGGTGAGGGAAGTCTCGGTTAGTGGCACTCACCACACTGTTAGAACAACTATCGAGTACAACGCGGCTCTGTTTTCTCTTTTTGAAGAGCGTTTTGTTGTGAACTCGGCAATGCACATAGATATCCACACGTTTGCGAAAGCGATGCCTCAGCACTCTGATCCTTCTGCGATGTGGCGTGATTACCGAGTCAGCAGGGCCCTCACTGCTGCTTCTATACGTCTTGGGTGGTAGCGCCGGACTGGAAGGCGCAGATTTGCGACGGAACGGCCGCGTGAATAATTTGAAGAAGGGCTTCGGTGGTATTATTGAGTGGAGGTGCAATCTTAGAACGTCTGTTGACGCCTTTGACCCGATTGAGGAGCGATCCTGATAATCGAATTGTGTCTTTAGCAAAACCGGTAGTTTTCTTTTATATATAGTATGCACTATTTTTCTCCACGTAATCGTTAAGTTTTAAATTATTGTCTGCATAGAAACATGCAAGTTAACCTACCTGGTGATCAGGAGAGCTGCCGTCCAGACTATCAACGCCCACAGTCTCAGCAGATAGATCAGGGCATCCACTGGGTGCCTCTTCACAGCCCAGTTCAGCCAGGGCAGACCTGATCATCTCGGCTTGTTTGGCACATTTGCGTTCTGCTACACGGAGTTCCAAAAGTTTTATGGGCTCTGAGGTCGTCACTGGCAATGGTGGCGGTGAATGCCTATGAAATCAAAAAATAAAGGAACATAGTTAAACAACTAAAAAAAAGAATAAAAGAGAATTAAGTCACGTTTTAAAATCCAATAGCCATCATCAGATGTTAATACTAAATTGTGTAGTAAAATGACGATTTTGTTTAGAATAATCTGTCATCTCTATGTTCATTGTCACAAGACTCACCTATCAATACCATTAACTCCATTAGTGAGTCCAGTATTGTTGTTCTTGCAGACTCCGTTCCCAATGATCTCAGGACCCTGCAGAGCTGACTGCTTCTCCCTGTTGTCCTGTAGCGTGTTCTCCAGCTCCGTCAACTTCTCCTTCAACCATTCTACCGTTAAATTGTCAACAGTCAACTGGTTCGGTTGCAGCTTTCCGCTCGTGTCTTCGACTAGGCTTTCATCGAAGTTAAAGGTGACCGGCGTTGAAGGTGGTGATCTGAGTAAAAAAGTAAAAATACTATTAAGTTTCGACTGGTCAGTCAGGGTTCCATAATTTCGAATATCCTATCATACCCAATCTTCGATTGCATCATCGTTTTCGAAGTATGATCAGTGGTTTACATTCTTATAAAATCCTAATAACGTCATTAAATGGGACTTAATAATGACGGGAAGAAGTTAACAATGTAATCCTAACTTAAGCTTACAAATAAATTGTAGAACAGGCATTTAACACGAAGGTGGTATGACTCAGTGTCAGTAATATGTAAAATACTGACACCACGTGACGATCTGTGGGGAGGAATATTAATAAATTTAAAGTATATTTTATGTGGTTTTCCTCATATTAGAAGCGAAAAGTATTTAAAAAGTACCTTAGCTGATTTATAAGGTTAAGTACTGAGTGGTTGGTAGGTAAACCGATAGGCATACATGTGATTTTCGATTTTAATAAATAATCGTTTCCTGAACCCTGTGATCATGGTAGAGTAAAATAATTATATTAAGAGCTAGCTAAGAAACTACATGCATGTTTGATAGACTGGGTAACAGTGCTCTCTGATATACCTTAACCTATTAATTTTAAATTGCCATCTCCACCGCCTGTCAAGCGTTGAGATTATGGCAAACCTTCTGATGTAGAGGAAACCCAGGCAGCCCAGGCTCATACTTCAGCTGTGATGTGAACTGTTAATATTGTGTATGTACGACAATAAGGTAATTAACCAATTATAGATAAAGGGGGAACTTAAAACTCTAAATGCATTCCATAAAGTACTCGTTGACACAATCACAAATATGACGTCACTATGCGGTTTGGTTTGTAAATTACCGCTTTTGTGGTTATAGAATCGAATACTTGTTATCGTTTATTTCTTCATTCATTACCACGGGATTTACAATAGCATTGTTTTGGTAAATTACCTGCATTTTTCCAAAATGAGAATTGGTTGTTGTTATTGTGAATTTGTTTTGTCGAATGGATAACGTCATCCCTTTTTTGGGAAGGTAGACTATTACTTCATCCATGTTTATCTATAAGACTCAGCTAAGTCTTAACTTCCGTGTTTATGCAAGAGAATCCACATAGAGGTGTTGAATTTCGAATCGATTACGAATATTTGCCGGGTGACAGATGGTTGATGGTAGACGACCTTTTTTATTAGGCCAATATTAGGCATATTTGACCAGACAAACTAATGCCCTTCAGCAATGACATTCCCAAAAACACTTTCTCCATAACGATCTCAAATTCAAATTCTGAATTTTCTATTGAATTCACCTTTGAAATTACTTTTAGCCCCCTTGTTTTTTCTGTTCCGTAACAACCCTGAAGCTTACCCCCACTCAAGAGTGAGAGTTATCACTTAAAATTCAGAAAACAAAACACAAAATCATAAAAATAGACAATTGAGTGGCTTAAAACTATTGTTAAGTATTTAAATGGACTCAAATTGTTTAAACAAGGCCTTTGAATGTTTGAAAGTAACGGTAAGTTCCTGACTACCTCTGATTCATGCCTTACCTTCAAAGCTTCGACTCATCGCTCACGCTCATTGTCACCGATAACTTTTTTAAAAACCGTTCCAAAATAAAATGTTTAGTCATTAAAATGTTATTTGAACTTGAAATACATGACTACCATTGAATTTGGGTTTCACTTTCGCCAAGTCTTAAATTGGTATTTTTATTTCTTTGTCATCATTACTAGGATTTAAAAATTATCATCCGTCATCCGGATGATGTCTAACATCCGAATCAAAAGCCTGTGATTGTGTACTGCTTGAATATGGTACAGGTTTAGTCTCCGTAAAATGGGATTTTCCAACGTTTGGATCACAGTTAGGCCACTGACAGATTAGGAGACACTGCCGACTTTCCATTGATGGCTTTTTTCAACGGGGAAAATCATCGAATGGCTTCTCCCGCCTGGGTGAAGCAGGAGGGAGTGTCAGACTCTTACTGACTAAAAACCACCCCGTTCCTACTCCTGCCCTTCGAGACGAAACCCCGGCAACCGGATAAGTCCTCCGCGGCTCCGTATCGGCATCAGCCCTGTTGGGCTCCATCCGTGGTGGTCTGATGGCTCTTTGGGGCGAGCGCAGAACGCGACGCGCCGTACGTTCGGGTTCCTTGATGGCTGACCGCGGTTTTAGGATGCACCCTCATTTCCATCTTTCCATCTGATGTTTTTATCTAACTTATTAATAATCTATGCTTTTGACGTATAAAAAGCATAGTTCAAAAATTATAATACCTCTCTATTTAGCTTCAAAGTCTAGCTTAGCATAGATGTATCTAGTAGATAACATATAATATTTTTCTTTCTCAGCATAGTAAGCAAACAATGCTACAAATACCACAATGTTCTAGCATTGTAATATAGTAAGTAACATAACAACGATTCTAGGAACAAAACTGCAAACTGTGATTTTTGGCGTACTTATATTTCACAAAACTAGTAATCTAAGGTACTTACCTGTTTACCTATTCACATTTTCACAGTAGTATATTAATATTGCCAAGTCGAAAGTATAAGGTACCTAGATATCATTTTACTTTCTACCGTGGACTGATAATAATTCATGATGTTGCACATTTACCGTTGGCCGTTGATTGAAATTCGAGAATGATATGTAAAAAAGAAACCTATTATAAAAATATAATTGCGAAATGTTAATAACTCGGACGGGAAATTATTTACATTCAACGTTTCTTATGTATTCTTCAGTCGTGACCGTCAATTTGTTCTACGATTTAAAGTTTTATTGCTGTTTAATAGTGCCTATCTATCTACTATTAGGATGCTCAAATGGTCTGGTTTACAACAAAACTTAAGACTTACCTATTTTTTGAATGAATTAATTTGTTCATTTGTAGTGGGTTGTATTGTATTATCTACTAAATTGTGTGGAGATGGTTGAGTAGAATGCATTTGTAACCATCTCTATTCTTTCCGTACGTGTCTTATGAACCGACTTAGGAACTACACATTTGACACAAACGAGACGAAGTGCAGCAGAGATTATGACAAATCCTCTAATTTCAAGGAAATCTGATCCGTCTGTAAACTGCCGAGGGCTGTTGATAACTCTTCGTAGATCTCGTGTTCCGCCAAAGTACTGCAGCTTTTATACGATAAAACATTTCTTTTTTTATTATACTTACTTGTACTTCTCAATAAACTCCTTGTATTCATCCTGTGGCCTCAGATTCTGTATCGTGGTCTCTATTTTGGTCTGTATCTCTCTGAACTTGTCTGTACTGAAGTCTGACCTCTGCACCACTTCTAGGAGCACGCCTTTCCTGTTTAACAAATAATTTTGTTAATATTTCTACGAAAATTGTTTACATGCATTGAACATCTGAATCATATATTGTAAGAATTTTGAATTTACTAATTCAACCTATATGGTTCATCCTCATCTATGTTTTAAATAGAGAATGAGTAAATATATCAGAAAGAATAAAACCTTCGTATGAGGAAAAAAAGAATGCAATTTCCTTCCAAAGAGCCAGTATTCTGGTACTACGAAAATGTAGAGTTATGTAAATATGAATAAGTATGATGAAATAATTTTACGTATTTCATAGTTCTTGCTTATTACTTTTCTGATGGTAGAGGACTGTCAATATTAATCTCTTTCTCCATTTATTATATATTAAAACGTTTCTAGGACAGTTACCTAATGTCCTAATTTTGGTAATGAGCTCAATAACAGCGACACTATATCTTTACAATCTAGGATTCTATCTTTATTATTATCTAAATCTAAATTGATCGATATGTCAAGTGCATTATCGACTAATTACAATAGGTAGTACAATAGGTAGTATCCATGTAAAAATAATTTTGACAGTTCAGTAGTTTGAAATCGATCTGTAACTACTTATACTTACATGAAGAATTATTGTTTCGTTAAATTATCAATAGATTTTTATCTCCCATGGAGTGGTAGAACACTTCTGTTTAACGTTCCTTATCAAATATTATTCATTTACAATAATTTATTTATTGATATGTTCTTTACTTCATTTTGAACAGCATAACCTCATGCCTTTTATCCCCAAAGGAGTAGGCAGAGATGCACATTACGGCACTTAATGCCTTGTAAAAGTGTACTTTTCACCATTTATCTTATGAGTCCCATGTAATAGGGGTGAGCCTATTGCCATATACCGGTCACAATTCCAATTTTTATGTTTTGAGTACGAGCTATTTTGAGTTTCATTAATCCAGAAACTAATTAAACTGCTGTATTATTTTACTCAGGATATTCTGCCTTCATTTTGTAATTATTCGCAGGCACTTAGGGAAATAAACTTTTTTGAGAAACAATAACGGTTCCTGCACCTATAGTTCTTTCTAGAAACCTGGAAGATATTCGAAGGGATCTTACCAAGACGTGGCAGTAGCCTCTCCCTGCCGGCGTTGCTGATCCAATAGCGTCGGTAATGCTGCAGTTCGCAGCGCCCTCTCGCACTCCGTAGCCTCAGCCAGCAGAAGCACATACTCATTATGAGCTCTATGTAGCCGTCTGCAGGCCTTGCCGTATTTGTCACGGGTCTCATCCAGCTTGCGACCACCTCGGCTTGTAGGACCTGGAAGATTTTAAAGGAGATGTTAAATGTTATATCTTCATAAAGATTAAAGTCTAATATTGCTACGTAAAAATTCAAAAAAATGAAAAGGATCTAAAAGCGTAAAACTGCTTAAAATAACTTATTCAAATATGTTTTAATATGTTTTGGACGTCATGCCCATTAAGAAGTGATAAAATATATCTTACATTTGAGGTAGTTCTCCTCGAACTTGGCCCTCATCTGCTTGTAAGACTCGAGGCATTTTTGGTACTCGCTCTGTTTCCTCTGGACCTCCTCTGATAGCTGTGAACAATAAAACATCACTATTTAACAATGTTATAACAACTGTTTTTCCATGGGATACCTTTGCATGCATCAATTTAAGTCTACTTTATCATTCGAAAACATACCCAAATATCAATAGTCCTAAAGTGCATAAATAATCATTTATTCCACATAAAACTGTTTCCACTAGAACCGATATTAAATCGAAACAAAAAGAAACATGAGTTTATTCCGGGATTTCACAATCAAGGCCCAGGTGTTTAAGCTGAGCGTTGATAAACCAGTCAGTCTGGATCTCTCTAAAAGGACATGCGTATACGCAGACAAAAGACTAACCTGTTGAGCAGGAAAATTACGTAGGAAACCATTTATGTTTTCCAAAAGCGAACCAGTTTTTGCATTTCAAGTTATAAAGTTTGACGAAACGCGTCAGTGTTCCCACGTGGATTTATCTGTACATCTATATCGAACTATTAAATAAAGCGATAAATTGCCAATGAAAACAGATGCGCTTGAATAATAAATGAGTGAAGCGGGAGAGGCGCGCGCGCAGGTGTGGGACGAACAAATCATGCTAACAACCAGATTTATTCTCCCATCGCGCCCTCGTGTTAGCGCCTTGCTGTAGTAGGAACATCTATTTGCTCAGATTTAATTACAGCAGAACAAAATATAGCGGTGACTTCAACTGAACTAGAGAGACAAAGACACGAATATAAAAATATCTTCGCGGTAAATACAACATTCATTAAAAACATTTATCAACGAGTGTACAAAATTATTACAAAACATTAATATTTATCAGCAAAAGCCTTATCCGAATGTAATTTCCCGTGGAAATATTGGCGTGTGTGTGTAATGGCTTTATAAAGAATCGTTATCGAAGTTATAAGCTTGAATAAATGCTCATAATTGTGAAGAAAACTTCAGTAATGGATGAAATCCGAAAGTTTTCTCACGACCTTACTCGCTTCATATGTGAGTTAATTAAATAAAGAGTTAACGACACTGGGTAATGTTTTCCTCGGCTATTAGAGCTTGCTTTGTAAGTATCGGCATGTTTTTTACAACAGCCATTAACAATTAAATGCTAATTCCAAATTGCTTCTGCAAAGAATTGGACAAAAAATTTCTTCCTACTACACACGAGATTACAATGTACATATTCATTTATGTAAATATATTGTGCATTATGATGTCATGTATTATGCAACGCCACTGTATGTGGCTGAAATTAAATAAACATTTGATTTATAGCAAAAACTGAAGACTATGAATATTTGTTAATGAGAAGCTAATTAAGCCAAAAGCGTTACCACTATCATATTTGGATTGAAATAATGTGATAGTTTAAGTAGATAATGTTTAACTTAAACAGTTTGATATGAATGTAATTATGCCTGAGTCACAGAGGACCCAGAATCGTGCAATCAATAAATCTAGACTCAAAATAGATGAGGTAACCCTCATAAACCAACACGTATGTAATAAAGCCACTAAACAAAAAATAGACGAAAAACATGTCTTCTTTGAAATAAAATAATACAGGAAGTACAAATTAATAGCGTTATAAACGGCCAGCGAAATCAGCTGCCAAGTCATGTTACATACAAAAAGAAAATAAAAATGCTTTTAATCAAATCGTTTATAGATAAATGTTTCGATAAATCACTAAAACATCGTAGCATGGATTACAACAAAATTATGATAATGCTTCCGATATTTATTAGGCATTAGCAACTCATGATTCAACAACTGTTGAATGGGCAACAGTAACAGTAATAGCTAATGGACGTTAAAACAATAACAAACAAAACAAAGGAGATCTTACCACAAACAATATGGTATACACACATTCTTCAACAGATACATCTTGTACACAAAGCACCGCTAATTAGTTAGCGGCGCTACACATCGACACAACTATCATTTACACAATATACATGTGTGGGTAATTTCATATCAATAGATATGTATAGAAACATTCGTCTATCACACACATCTTGGTATTTAAAAATCATTTTTGTGTCGGTATACGCAATAATTTAGTAAATAAGTTTAAATAAAAACGAGGGTAAAGATAAAATTACTCATAACAAACTTTGAATAAATCGAAATCAAAAATAATGAACGATCGAGCTATACAATACCCATATAAATATAGTGCTTTCTCATTGTAATTTTATGTTACTGAATGATATAAAATATTTCGATGATCTCATCTACAGCGCGCTTGGCGCAATGGTTATCGCCTCCAATTATCAAGTAAAGTGCCGCCGGATCGATTCCAACATTCACATGTTGTTTTAGAATTAATTTATCAAATATTTGAAATTTGAAATTAGAAACAATTAAATCTTTTCTTTTTTTTTCCTTTCCTATTGTTCTAAATCTTATGTTAATTTTAATAGTAAATACTTTAGATTTATTTATACCTATAATATCTTTTATTTATATTTTAGTTCTAGTTATTTATTATTTAGAATAATCTCATTTGCTTCATGCATTTCAACCAACTTAAATAAGATAAAAACAGTAAAAAAGTAATTAACTGTGATTTCTTAATGGTTCGATACCTGAGTATATTTGCAATGTTTGTGGCGACCATAGAAATCTCGAGTCATTTTATTTTACACGCTTATGAAGTAACTACCGACTATTTAAAACATGTTTTTCAAATCACCCGACTTACAAAATAATTGCGTTCTTAGTTGTCAATTTATGAGGATTTCATAGTTTATTGCTACACTACTTATATTCGTGTGCAAAGTTATTTTTATTTTTACAAGATGTTCCAACACCTATCAACATTTAAAAAGGCTGAAACCATTGTTTTGCATGAGCAAAACATAACTAACAATAACTGAAATAGCAAGGCGTTTAATGATATCGGTGAGTAAATAAGATACTACGTTGATATTCTAAATAATATTTATTTCATTTTGTAACTCGACACACCTATCAATTTTTGCACTAGAATAAAATAATTATTGCAACTTATTATGAAGTTCAATATTATAAAGATTGTTTTTGTTAGGAGTGTTTCTTTAAAACATATCTGGTTAGGGATTTTTATTCCTTACGCCACTACTTAATTATAAATTATTATTCTAACATTGTGTTTACTTATATTTATTATTATTTTTAAGTAACTTTAATTCCTGTAAAGTATTTCCTGGTATTTTAAATACTTATTTGTTTGGTATCAACAGAGGAGATCCATGCAGTTATGGGTGCACAGATATGCGAGACCGGTGACGTTAAACATCGTCGACGTGGGCCTAAACCAAAGGCAAATTCATCGGCTCGGCACTACGACATCGTAGCCAGGCACATGGCTGATCCGTTCCTGCCAACCCGCACTACAGCGACAGCACTGAATGTTTTAATACAAACTGTACGGAGACACCTGCATTCTGGTTTAAGGTGCAGGAAGCCAGAGAAGAAAATATTGTTATCTGTGGTTCACCAGCAAAAGCGCTAAGAATTTGCTAAGGACTTTATTAATTTTGATTGGGCGAACAGTGTAATCATATTGAGCGACGAAAAGACTTTCAAGTCGATAAGGATGGGCGTAAAATATTGTGAAGAAAAGATGGAGAAAGGTATACGAATTGCAACCTTCTGCCTTGTAGGATCAGTGATTGTATTGATTTCGGAATCAATTATTGAGCCTGTCAAACTCTGCCTTTATTAAAATTAACATAAAATAATGTTTAATTTTTTTAAGAATATTAAAATGCTGTCTAGAACATACGGTGAAGTGATGTTATTGTTTTGTGGTTAGAAATTGTCATAATTTCTTTCTATTCAACATGTTTATTCACTTCACTTTAATTTTTCATTAACAAATTTATTTAACTGCTTTCGAACTTGATTGACATATTATATTTACGCCCATCTTCAATTAATTTAAAGTTTCCCTGATTCTAAAGGTCATGAAAGTTAAAATCGTTCCATAGCATTCGTCACATTCTTTTTACTATCATACAGCCCACTGAATATTGAACCTTATAACAACCGTCGTAAAATAGATAATTAATGGAAGTTCAAACGACAAAAAGTCGCCCATTTCAAGAAATATTATGTTGACAGTGTAATTTTTTACATGTTTTACTTGTTTATTACTGTAAAACTGTAATTTAATAATACATTATATTATTAAATTACAAAACAAGAATGTTGTATATTTGTTTATTACCTACTTAATAAAAAATGTTGCTGCCATCGTATTACCGCTGTACCGCATGTTATTTCCCGATTCGACTATAAGGCTTATTGGCATATTGATTAATTATGATTTAAAGAACTTTAAGAACTTAACATGTACCTAGTATTTAATTAATTATTATAAATATTGAATATAAAACCACTTTTTGTGTAATAAATAAATACATTGTAATAAAAAATAGTATTGTTTTATTTACCAACTCATTTGCTTCTTTTATAGCCTGATATTTATATTTTATGACAAAAAACAAAAAAAAAAAAAATAAGAAAAATAACAAGGTAAAATAAAATTAACTTTTAGCTGGAATAGAACCCACATCATTGATCCTTGAAAGACGATAAAAGCGTGCTCATTAACCAATCGACCACGAGCACTACGATAATGACAGTGAAAATGTCGGGTCATATCAATGATTGTAAATAGTTTTAACCTTACCTATGCATTAAATTATAAAAATACGTATACCGACACAAGAATGAAAATACCAATGTGAACGTGGTGGACGAATATTTTTATATACAGTTATATGAAATTACGCACACATGTACACTGTGTAAATGACAGTTGTGTCGATGTGTAGCGCTGCAACTAATTAGCGGTGCTTTGTGTACGTTTGTTTAAAAAAATGGAAACGGATAAACATTTTATATTTTGGTCTTTGTTCTTAAGTAGTTAAATGATTTATTACAGTATCTTCAAATCGTCGATCCAAGCATTTTTTTGTAAGCTCCAATAATACAATTATAATTATAATTATGATCAGATTATCAGTTTTGCCTGCTTCTACGGTTGTAATTTGATGGTCCTTCGCAAATTTAGGGCCAAAAACGGTGCCTTGCGAAACTATGGTGTTTCAAAGAATAATATTTGTACTTACTTCTTTAATTATAATCTATTATCTGCTAAGCAAAGTGACTTTATTGGACAAATCCATTAACAACTTACAAATAAAATCGTGTTTCTTTACCGATACCTCGATCACAAGTATCTTGTTAAAATGTTTAGGAGCCAATTCACGTCAGCGTCCGTCATCGAGTCATCCGGAAATATTTGGAATAACAACACCAAGTTCGGTCCTTTTAATATTTACATTGATTGTTTACCGATCAACCTTTGTTTTTTGTAAACAACAGAATAACGAATGTTTTAAATACTTTATTTATTCAAAAGAATATTAAATTCAATGTACATACTTATAATTCAGTTTCAGTAGATAGAATTTATGAATAAGAATTAATGCATATTTATTTTGATGAATAGCATGCTTTTCTAACTGAATATAGGTACTTACATACCTAATAGAAAATTCAATACAAAATGTACAAAACATAAGAAATCGTAACACATTAAATCATCATTAGGTGAATCATATGATCAATTGCCGCCTTGCGATATAACGCATCAAAATTAATTTCGGTTTAAATTAAAAACATATTAAATGTAAAAACCTTGGTTACTAACGTGCGAAAATTTTAAATGAAGACTATCAATCTTATTCCGAATAAATGTAAAATAAATTGAATCCTTTACCGTTAGCTATTTTAATAATGATAAAATTGATGTTCTTGACAGAAGTCGTGTCCATGGTAGACATTATTAGCTGCTATTTAAAAAACTCCAGGCCGGTGTAAGAAAAATTAAATCAAAATAACAGCATCCGGTTACCAGTGCATATTTTATAAGTTAACAGCAACATTTCGTGGCCATTTGGTATACAAGAAAATAAAATAAATATCTATTTAACA